TGTTGGTTGTGTTTGTGCATCCTGAGGAGGGTACCCTTGGATGTTTCGTGCTTTGTTGGCCGACGGAAGGTCTCATGTTCTTGGAGGATGTTCTTCTGGCCCAGGCTCGACTGAATAAGACCCCGCGCGTTGTGAAGATATCGCGACAGGGGGGTTTTCGACTCAGGATGACACATTGGTCCCAGGGAAGGGGTCCAGACTTTGAGTGTCGACGTTGCGAAAGAATCACGACGTCGGAGGTCTGGGGAAATAGTTTGGGGAGGGTGGAGGCTTAGAAGCACCCTGCTTCTAAACAACGGGCTTTGTCTATACATTTAGTTTGGGTTCGAAAGGGGCTCGAGGTTCCTTAGGTCCTTCCATGGCTATTCCTCTAGCCCTCCTCGTGCAAGCAGGTGCTTCTGGTGCCAAAAAGGGGGGTCGTTCCTTGTTTAGCGTGCCTTCTTTCAGCGGTCCGACTGTAGATGTATGTCCGGCGCCTTCTAAGAATCAGCCTCCTTCTAAGAAGCCCTCCCCCCTGCCTCCACCCCCTTGTGCGCAACAGAGCCGCTGCTTGTGGCCCGAGAGCAGCAAGCACATCGCTCGCTGATGCCTAGTCATCTTGCCGGTCGGCGAGAAGGTCCCATTCGAAGACTGGGGGTCGAGCATGCTGTGCAGGTTGGGTGCGGTCAGCCTGGAGCGCGCCATTGGGAGCGAGACTACGAGTGCGCTGCACCATCCGCGCAGTGACTTAACCTCACACCCACAAGACCACGCATTACAGCCTCCATGGCATCCACACCCCCGCTTCCATGCCTAGCTCAGTGGTTCCTTCCCTCCCTCCTTCCTCCCTCCTTCGTCCATCCCCCCCGCGTTCGTCCATGCTGCCTCTCTCCCGCTTCCCTCCATACCTCCGTGCTCCTTCCCGTCCTCCCTCCTTCAGTGGAGACCTTTGGCAGGGACGAGGAGGAGGAGGAGGACGAGGAGGAGGGGGAGGAGGAGGGGGAGGAGGAGGAGGAGGAGGTGTAGAAGAAGGAGGAGGAGGAGGAGGAGGAGGAGGAGGAAGGATCAGGGAGGGGAGAATGAGGAGGAGGAGCGGGAGGAGGAGGAGGCTGATGAATTCCACCCAGAGCTCCGCCAACGCCCTTCCGCAGGCTGCCACCGGGTGCCAGAGGCTGTCTGCATTGGCGCGAGGAGGCGCTGGCGGCTTTTTTGTTTTGTATTGCTGCGCGACCTGAAAAGAGGCTAGAGCACGGCCGATTACCGGTCGCAGAGAGAGCAGGGGAAGGGTGAAGCAAGAGGAAGCGGACATGTCTTCGGAGGTCGGGGGGGTGAGATCGAAGTGGATTTGAGACCCCCTGCCGAGGACTCGGCTTCGGTTTTTCGTGCTCGCGCCGTGCGGGCGGGCGGGGCGGAGCTGCGTGCGCTGGCAAGAGGCGTGACCCCACCGCTGCGTGGGGCGAAGGCAGAGCAGATGTTGCTCCGCCCCCCCGGTTGGCAGATGGTGCCTCGCGGTTGTCTCGCGGCTGCTCGATGGTCGCCCCGATGGTTGTCCCGACGGTTGTCCCGAGGGTTGTCCCGGTGGCTGTCCGGCGGTTGTCCCGATAGTTGTCCCGATAGTGGTCCCGACGTTGTCCCGATAGTTGTTTCCGAGGGTTGTCCCGATGCTTGTTCCGATGGTTGTCACGATGACTGTCCCGATGGTTGTCCCGGCAGTTGTCCCGAAAGTTGTTCCGAGGGTTGTCCCGATGCTTGTTCCGATGGTTGTCACGATGGTATTCCAGATGGTTGTCCCGGCGGTTGTCCCGAAAGTTGTTCCGAGAGTAGTCCCGATGCTTGTTCCGATGGTTGTCACGATGGTATTCCAGATGTTTGTCGCGATGGTTGCCCCGATGGTTAGCCCGATGGATTTCGATCAATCAATGCGCTCGGCGCCTTCGGGGCCTCGATATTCTGGCCAGCATGCAACAACATAATGCCCTCGGCGACGAGAATTGAGTTGTTGTTTGGGGAGTATCCAACACATAGTGATATATATATATATATATATGTATATTTATTGTGAGCTATGTAGATCGACACTTATCTATATAGCGTGGCCGGGTACAAAGTGATCGATCGATAAATACTGGCGCCGATCGGTAGTGAGACCAATAGAGGTTGTGCGATGGATGGAGACGGTTGCCCCGATGGTTGGACACCCCCTCAATATTATCATCGGCTCCTGGACAGTCATGTAGGTAAGTATTTTGAGTTGACGACGCTTTGCAATTGAATCGTGATCCTAGCGCGACCCCAAGCATTGCAGAGCATCCCATTACATTGAGGGCTCCGTTCTCTTCTCGAGCAATGCACAGCAGACAAGACAACGCAACGCAGCGCAAATCGCAACAGAGCCAATCAAACCAATCCGATGCATCACAGTACTATGCAACACCGAACATATCCCATCATTCCGCCAGAACAAATCGAATCCATCCAAAGCAAGTCGTGCGACGAACATCGGAAGTACAGCGACAGAGATCTCATCCAATCCGTGCGTTTGGACGAGAGGCAATGTAAAGCAATGCAGCGCAAAGCAAACCGAACCAATGGAACGCAGAACAATGCAACGCAATTGAGCGCCGAGGAAAGCCATGGAGAGCAGAGGAAGTCAACGCAAAGCAGTGTCAGGGCAAGTGACCCCGAGGACCCCCGAGGAGCCCTCGAGGATCCCCTGAGGACCCCGCGAGGACCCAGAGGAAATACCGAGAACCTAGCGGAGATTGCCGATGATCGCCACCAGCCCTGTTGCACAAAAGGGGTTGTAGGGTCAGGAACTTTTGACTAGCGTGTCGCGTCGCCGGTTCTGTCCTACCACGCTTCTGCGCCACACGCTGACCACGTGCCCGTTTTGCCCATCTCTCCCGCGCGGCGCGGGGCGGCACGCTATCTGCTTCCAGGGCACGGCGTGTCGCAGGTTCCGCCGTTGCGCCACGCCCAACGCAAAAGTTCCCGACCGTCGGGTGCCCTCATGCAAAACACGGCCGTTGAAGACATACCGGTGAGTTGAGAGCGGGCGGATCACCATTCCCCAGCGGGTGGCCGTCGCTGGCACGGCCATCCACGACATAATGGGCATGGATGTGCTCAGTGCAGCCCTTTTCAGCGCCAGCGTCATACACGGTTGCTTCGATGGCGTCTGGGCATTAAGTCGGGCCTGTCCCTCTACAGGGGGAATATTCAAAAATAGTTACAAAGTAGTCAGGGGACGATTTTTTATGTGTTGTATTGTATTTTGGTGTATTCAATTTTTTTGTGTGGTTTTCCTCCAAATCCGCCTGCAGGGGGATATGCCCGACCTAACCCTGGCACGTGCAGGGGCTTCCTGTGGCAGTGGAGCTGGCGATGGAGGCGAGAGGCCTCCCGGGGCCCCAAGCAGCCGAGAGTGCGGTTTGGTGTGGGAGTATTGCCGCCCTACTCTTCGGCACTCGATGCGCCGTGGAGGAGCTAACTTTAAGCCGGGCCCGCCCCTCTACAGGGGGAATATTCAAAAATAGTAAAAAATTGTATGGGGACGACTTGTATGTTTGATTTGTTTTATTTTTTCGCCCCAAGTCCCCCTGTAAACGGACAGGCCCGACCTGAAGCTAATTGAGGAGCGCCCAAGAGAGCTTCCCAAAGGCGCCAACGCGTCTTGCGGCTTCGTGTGTAACTAGAACGTGGGACCATGTTGGGGACCGTACGGTGAACAGTGGGAAACCGACCCCAGCCCCCACAACTATTGATTTTATAGGTCAACGTTTTAAAATCATGGCGACGGTGCGTATTACCGTATGTGTAGGCGCCTTGTAAGCAATGTCATGGCCGTAAACTGGGTCTAGAGTTCCTCATGTGGGGGGCGGGGGGCGCTTTTTCATGCGTTCACATGGGGAGAGCGTACATCCCTCCTCAAAATCAAACGCAAGTTTTTCCCGCGACCCGGCGGCGCCCCAGGACCCCAAAATTCCAATGTTCGCGCCGAACTTGGCGACTGCTGACAACAAATCTGACCCCGCGGCCCGCGCTTCGCGCGCGGATCAACATTAAACATTTGCGTTTGGTTTCGAGCAGGGTTGCAGGGTCCCGTTGGGGGCATTCCCCCCTGCTGGGGCCCTGGCACCATGACGAGTGGGGTTAGTGAGGCATGCGCCTGCGCAGGGGCTTCAGCTGATGGAAGCAGCCGTGAGTTGACCGGCGTCCATAACTTTCTATTGCTTCCAGCGGTTCAAGATCAAGATCAAGAGCGAAGGGGTGTCGCCAATTTCTCCAGGACATTGAGATCCCAAGATCGATGCTCGAGGAGGGTTTTGCGAGTCGGAGGTCGTTTTGGAAAGCTCTGGAGAGCATGCGAAGGGACCAAACGAGGGGGTCACGTGGGGGTGGGGTGGGGGGGGCATACGTGGGAGAACCACAGCGGGGAGGCCCCGCGACGGGCTTCCTCGCACCTGCCCGTTGAGCCTCGCAGACTGCCGACGAAAGCCCTCTCCCCCTTAACCGTTGCGCGAAGTCAGGGGGCGGGGGATAACTGGGGGGGGCAGCGAGGGCTGCAGAAAGGGGCCTTGCAGGGCTCTGGAAGGGGCCCTTTGTGGCCCAGGGGCCCTTTGTGGCCCAGACGGGGGGGCCTGCAGGCCCTGAGGAGGGCACCGTTCTTCCCCCCCCCCCCCCCCGCTACCTGCTGTCGCCCCCCATTGATTCGCGCCCAGCTCACTCTCATCCGCAACTGCGGTGCAACGCTCTCTGTGTGTCTCTCTCTCTCTTTCTCTCTCACTGTCTCTGTGTGTGTGTCTCTCTCTCTCTCTCTCTCTCTCTCTCTATATATATATATATCGCATTCCCCGTTGCCCACACTCCTCATCCTCTCGGTTTCGTCTGCCGCGTTCTACCCCTGCCTTCCTTCTCCTCTGCAGCATGCTCACTTTGAAGGCTTACCAACACGAGGTGCAGCAGAGCCCGCCCCTCGAACGTGCAGAGACCCTGCAGCAGAATAGCCTTCAAAGGAGCACATGGTGCTTCCCATGCTGAGGCTGCCCATCGTCAGGCGCTCCGGCGAGTCGCCAACTCCGTCGGACTGCGGAGCAGATGGCCCAGTCCTTTGCTGCAGCTCCTCGGACATGCCGCCGTCCGACCGGGGCGGCGGGTGCAGCATCGCGGTGAGGAACACCTTCGTGGACGTGTCCCCCCCGCTGGGCGACGAGCAGTCCGAGTGGGAGCTCCGGGGGGCCCAGACGTGCAGGGCGAGGCTGTTTGAAGTTGACGATGCTGATGATGATGACGATGATGATAATGATGATGATGATGATGATGATGATGATGATGATGATGATGATGATGATGATGATGATGATGATGCTGATGCTGATGCTGATGCTGATGCTGATGCTGATGCTGATGCTGATGCTGATGCTGATGCTGATGCTGATGCTGATGATGCTGATGATGATCAGGGTCCATAGGCGTGGTCTGGGAGCAGAGCTCGGCACAGCCACCTTGCATTCGGCATGCACGGTCGCAAGGGCCCCGCGGAGCCCAAGCCAGACCCAGGCGACGAGGGACGGGCCCCAGACGCCAGGCAGGGGCAGCCCCCCGCTATGACCCCTGGTGTCTGAGAGTCGCCTGCAGCAGCGCCTCGGATGCGTGGCGGGCTGCCCTCCGACGCCTCCGCCTGTCGGCGCTGGGGCCGACGGGGTCCAGCTCTCCAGCGGCCGCTCCATGGCGACGGCGGGCCGCTTCCCGTGCGCGCACGTCAGCTGTGCGCATGGTCGCGATACGGCAAGGCGAGCACGGCTCGAGCCGCATGGCAACTATGATGTTGATGATGCTTCTGCTGATGATGATGCTGATGAAGATGATGCTGATGATGATGATGCTGATGATGATGATGGTGATGATGATGGTGATGCTGATGATGCTGATGCTGATGGTGATGCTGATGCTGCTGCTGCTGCTGATGATGATGATGATGATGACGCTGATGCTGATGCTGATGCTGATGATGATGATGATGATGCTGATGATGATGATGATGCTGATGATGCTGATGATGATGGTGCTGATGGTGATGATGATGATGATGCTGATGATGATGATGATGATGCTGATGCTGATGCTGATGTGCTGATGCTGCTGATGATGACGACGATGACGACGATGACGATGACGATGGCGATGATGATGACGAGGCTGCTGGAAGCGGGGCGGCCGCCGCCGCTCGCGCTGGCGGAGGGCCCCGACGCTGCCGGCAGCGACGCCGCGGGCACGGGCGCGCACAGCGCGGGGGGCTCCCCGTGGGCGGGCCCGTTCGGCGACTCGCCCGTGGCGCTCGCCCGCTTCGGCGGGGCCCCGCCCGCCGAGGAGCTCGTGGAGGCTCGGGCGGGAGAGCGGCGGCAGAGCTGGCCTGCCTCGACACAGGAAGCCGCCGAGCGCGCGCCACTGCTCGCAGGGACCCTACAGTGCCGTTTTTAATATATGCTCCGCGTGCGGATCACGTATTAAAAAATGCAGGAATTGAGTACTAAAGACAACGATGAGGTCATGCGTCAATCTATTCATAGATAAAATCATGTATTCAAATCTTATGTTTTATAAACAAGCCCTATGTATTAAAAACTGCCCTGTGCTCGCAGACTTCCGCCAAAACACATGTCTGCTCTGAGGTATCTCATCGTAGGCCTCCTGTGGCGGATCCAGGCCATTTGCGAGTGGCCAGTTGGCGAGTAGTGGAACGCGCTCGTCTAGAAAAAACCACACAAACGTAAACTGTGGCGCTCCGCGCGGAGCGCCAAAAGTTTATGCTTGTGTGGGTTTTCTCTTCTTCTAGCACCCCAAAGTTGATCTCCTCTTTGTGGAATCTGCAAATATACGCCGCCTGCTCGCAGATCTACGAAAATGCTACAAGTTTTTATTCGTGGGGCCCACGGAGATGTCACTTTTGGGGGGCGAAGCCAGTTCTGCAATTCGTTGATCCCCTGCTCGAGAGGTGGTGCTGCGGGTCCCCCTGTGGGTGCGGGCCGGGCACGCCCTGGCCAGCGAGGCGCCAGGCGGCCTCGTGGCCGACGTGGCGCACGAGGGCGGCCAGATCGTGCTGCGGCTGCGCATCGGCGCGGGGCGGCCCGGCGACGTCTCGCTGGCGTCCCCGCCCGCCGTGGCGGTGGCCGGCGCCGAGGCCTGCATATTAAGTCGGGCGTGTCCCACTGCAGGGGAGAGCTATGTCAAGAGAGCCCAAAGATTTGAGTCTGGGAGCGATGTCTCGATTCATGTCCGACTATATGTTTGGGTATTGTTTGTGCGTGCTTTCTGGGTATTATTCCCAGACATGAGACGTCCGAATTTTTGTCAGGACGGCGTCCCTGGAAGTCCCAACCCTTTCCCCAGGACCGGTTTTTCATGCTGAATCGTTGTTTGACGGTCCCGAGGCCTTTAAGGGCCCCCCGAGGCCGAACATTGGCAAAAAAAGTCCTCCCGGCCGGAGTTTTTTGCGACGCGAGCCTGTCTGGGTTAACTCCCCCCAGAATCCGCCCGTGGGAGGACGTGCCCGGCCCAAGGCTTGCAGCCCCAGCGCCTCGGAGGGCAGCAGCGCGCCCGCGCCGCCGAGGCGCCCGAGCGGCGGAGGCGCCCCGGCGGCGCGGGGGGCGGGCGAGCGGAGCCTGATGGTCTGCCGCCACTGGAAGAACAAGGGCTGGTGCAGGCTCCAGGACGCCCTGGGGGTGGGGCAGGAGGAGGAGGAATCGGAGGAGGAGGAATCGGAGGAGGAGGGAGGAGGGAGGAGGGAGGAGGGAGGAGGGAGGAGGGAGGAGGGAGGAGGAGGAGGAGGAGGAGGAGGAGGTGGAGGAGGTGGCGGAGGAGGCGGAGGAGGCGGCGGGGGGGGGCAGAGGCAGCGTTGCAGTCTCGAAGAAGAGAAAGCGGCATGAACATGGATTGTTGGCGGTCCGCGCGGATTTCTTGGATCTGCGCTGGGGCCCCCCTGGCGATGGTGCATACCCTACTGTTCTTTCATGCTTGTCTTGGATGCTCTTGCTGTGCACCCCGGGGGGGGCACCCTGGGATGTTCTGTGTGTTTTGGACGGCGGGGGGTCTCATGTTCTGGAAGGGGCGGAAGAGGCAGAGGAGGAGGAGGAGGAGGAGGAGGAGGAGGAGGAGGAGGAGGAGGAGGAGGAGGAGGAGGAGGAGGAGGAGGAGCACGTTCTCCTGTCCGAGGTCCGACTGTAAGCGGGGCGGGTGGGCCCAGGGAGGGAGGCATCGGCCCCCCACACACGCACCCACTCGTCGCCGAGAGGGGCCCGGTGGCTGGCCCTCCCCGCTCGGGACCTTTGCGGGCTCGATCTCGGGGGACCGTCGCCGATCTGGCGGCGATGGCCCGGTGGCCCACCCCGCTCGGGAATTCTCCGGACTCGCTCTCGGGGGCCCGTCGCCGACCTGCCTGCGATGGCTGGCCCATGCCCTGAGATCTCCCGGTGTGGCAATTCCTTCGCGCCCAGCGTTTACGCTCGTGGCCGGGTCCCGGGGCCCTCATAGAGCTCGATCCGGCCCGGAACACGATGCAGGAAGCTGGGGTCGGGGGCTCCGGGCGTGATTTTTTGACGATGCCGCAGCTTTTCCGCCACGTCGGGTCTCAGGGCGTCTCCCCCCCCCCCGAATTGCCCCCCCCTCGCCACTGCTCCTCCGACAAGAGGCCGCCCGCGCACAGCGCCATCGCCACGGCTACACGTTCCGTCCGCCGACGGCGTGTCAGCGTCGTCGGCGTCGGCGTCGGCGTCGGCGTCGGCGTCGGCGTCGTCGTCGTCAGCGTCGCCGTCGGCAGCGTCGTCGTCGTCGTCGTCGTCGTCGCCGTCGGAAAGGGCGCGTTCTGTGGTCGCTTAGAGGGGGGAGGTTTGGAACTGGACCCGCCGCCCCTGGATGGAGGGGGGGGGTTCGATCCCCCCCCCCCCCCCCCCCCACCCCCCCCTCCCGTGGCGGAGGGGGGGGGGTCGAATCCCCTCCCCCCCCCTACTTCTCCTCTCTCCCTCTCCTCGGGCCGGCGTCGGCGCCGGCGGCGGCTGGCGGCGGCGGCGGGTGGCGTCGATGAAGACGACTTCCTTGTCTGGGCCCGCGCCAGCGCCTGCGGCGGCGGGCGGCGGCGGCGGCGGCGGGGAGCGTCGACGAGGACAACGGCGACGACGATGACGACGCCGACGACGACGACGACGCTCCGCCACCGTGCCTTGGTTTCGGGTCATAGCCCTAATGGATGCCTCTTGGGGTTTCGTCCGAGGGCTCTCGGGGGCCTTTGAAGGGCATTTGTGAAGCCTCTTGGGCGGTTCTTGGGCGTCTCTTGGGGCCCCTCTGAGGTGGTGATAGTGGTGGGCTTTGGTGGCGGTGGTGGCCGTGGTGGTGGTGGTGGTGGTGGTGTGGTGGTTGGTGGTGGTTGTTGTGGTGGTTGTTGTGGTGGTTGTTGTTGAGTGGTTGTGGTGGCAGGTTGTGGTGGTGGTGGTGGTTGCGGTGGTGGTGGTGGTGGTGCGGTGGTTCCTGGTGGCGGTGGTCATCGTTGTGGAGGTGGTGGTAGGTGAAGGTGGTGATGGTTGTGGCGGTGATGGTGTTGTGGTTTGTCGTGGTGGTTCAGGCGGTGGAAGTGGTTGTGGTGGTGGTGGGTCGTGGTGGTGGCGGTGGCGGTGGTGGTGGTGGTGGTGATGGTTTCTTCTTGTGGTGGTGGTTGTTGTGGTTGGTGGTGGTGGCGGTGGCTGTGGTGGTGGTGGTGGTGGGGTGGTGGTTTGTGGTGGTGGTGGTGGTGGTGGAGTGTGGTGGTGGTGGTGGTGGTGGCGGTGGCCGTGGTGGTGGTGGTGGTGGTGTTGGTAGTGTGGTGGTTTGGTTGTGGAGGTGGTGGACTAGGTGGTGTGGTGGGTGTGGTTTGTGGTGGTGGTGGTGGTGGTGTTGGTGGTTGTGGTGGTGGTGGGTTGTGGTGGTGGTGGTGGTGGTGGCGGTTGTTGTGTGGTGGTTTGTGGTGGTGGTGGGGTTGGTGGTGGTGGTGGTGGTGGTGGTCGCGGTGGCTTGTGGAGGTGGTGCTGGTGGTGGTGGTTGTGGCGGTGGTGGACATGGTGTGGTGATTTGTGGTGGTGGTGGTGGTGGGTTGTGCTGCTGGTTGTAGTGGTGGTGGTTGTTGCGGTGGTGGTGATGATGTGGTAGATTGTGGTGGTGGTAGTGGTGGTAGTGGTGGTGGGTTGTTGTATTGGTGGTGGTGGGGAGCTGTTGTGGTGGTGGTGGTGGTGGTGGTGGTGGTGGCTGTGGTGGTGGTGGTTGTTGTGTGGTGGTTTGGTGGTAGTGGTGGTGGTGGGTTGAGCTGGTGATTGTCGTGGTCGCGGTGGTGGCGGTGGTGGTGGTGGCGTGGTGGTTTGTGGTGGTGGTGGTGGTGGGCTGTGGTGTGGTGGTTGTTTTTGGTGGTGGTGGTGGTAATGATGGTGGTGGTGGTGGTGGGTTGTGGTGGTGGGTGGTGGTGGCGGTGGTAGTGATGGTGATGGTAATGGTGTGGTGGTTTGTTGTGGTTGTGGTGGGTTGTGGTGGGTTGTGGTGGTGCTTGTGCTGGTGGCGTTTTTGGTGGTGGTGGTGGTGTAGTGGTTTGTGGTGATTGTGGTGGTTGTGGTGGTGTTGGGTTGTGGTGGTTGTGGTGGTGGTTGTGGTGGTGGCGGGGGTGGTGGTGGTGGTGGTGGGGGTGGTGGTGGTGTGGTGGTGGTGGTGTGGCCTTCGGCTCTTCCCGCCACTGTGTTTTGGCTTTGTGTCAGAGTTTTAACGGATGCCTCTTGAAGTCTCGTCAGAAGGGTCTCGGAAGCGTCTGAGGAGCATGCGAGGGTTCAATATGGCGTTTTGTGCTCTTTGGGTCCTCTCCGGTCATCGTCGCTGCGTCCCCGCCGTCGGCGCTGCGGGCCGCTGCCGGCGGCCGCCAGCGCCGGCAACGGCGCCGGCGCAGGGTGGGTGGGTGGGGGGGGTTGAAACCAGGAGGGGCGGGGGGGTCGGGAAAGAGGGGGGGGGGTTGGGAGGGGGGAGGGGAGCCCCCCTGGTTCTGATCGACGGCGCCGAGTGCTGGGGAGGGCCCCCCCCCTGGTTCGAAACGCGCCGCCGAGTGTTCCCAAGGCGCCCGTGAAACGCGCTCAATCCGGCGTCGCCGTCGGCGCCTCGCCGCCGCGCCGGCCGCCGCACCGCGGTCGCACCGCGGTCGGGCCGCCCCGCTCCGCCTCGGGCTGCCGCCGTGCGGCGCCTCCTGGGGCGCCCGCCAAAGGGGGGTGTGCCCCGGTGTGTGTGTGTGTGAGAGAGAGAGAGAGTTCGATCGGTTTTTTGCACCGAACCGCCCAAACCAGATGCCCCCCAGCCGCCAGCAGCTCCCGAGAGTTGCCGACATGCGGGGCATGCAGGGGGCATCTGTTTGCGGCAGTTCGGTGCACCAGCGGATCGAACGCATGCCTCCCCTCAGGGTCACCCCCCTTTTGGTGGATCCCGACTCTTTGGGGCTGGGCCAGACGGAGGGCTTGGAGCCCCGACTGCGAGGCTGGCGCCGGACACGAGAAGCATAGGGGGTCGACTGCGGAATTGATTCCTCCCAACTTTAAAGTAGAATTAAAGTCTTCGTCGACCCTACGGGAAAAGACAAATACGCAAAGTGTTTGTAGATCTGCGAGCATTCTGCGTATTGCCTGCAGGTCCTACAAACGATTTCAATGTTGGGGTGAGCCAGTCAGTTCTGTAGACAATCTCGTACTCGAAGCATGCCCCAATTTCCACCTGGCCTCCTCGTCCTCCAGGGGAACTACTGAAGGAGTGCGATGCAGAGAATGGAGTGTTGTGGAAAGACAAAAAACTATGATGGTGGATACGATTGGAAAGGAAACAGATGGTGACATTATGGGCTGGAGTGCGCTCACCTTTGAAAAGAACGAAGGACCAAAGCGATGGTTCACGTTCGCTGGTTCGGAAACGACGGCTCCTCCTTGGATTTTCCTCTCGTGCGAGAACGATGGGCAGGTGGGCGTGGGGATGCTGTACTGCTCCCCCGTAAAGCAGGACACCTGCATGTTCCAGCACCCCAGCCACAAGAGGGGCGTGGGCCGCGCGGCGGCGGGGGCGACGCCGGCGCCGGCCAGGCAGCAGCAGGTGGTGCCGAGCCCTGCGACACAGCCCGGCGCTGAGAGGGCTGGGCTTGGCTTCCCGACAGCATCGGGGAACAGCACTTTGCATAAACATCAGCCGTCGGCGGTCCGCCTGGATCGGCGCTGGAGCCCCTCCGCGAACCAGGGAAGGGGGTCCAGCGCCGATCAGAGAAGTCCGCGCGGACCTCCAAGAGCTTCTGTTTCTGCAGCGGCCTGTTCCTCTGCAGCAGTTGGACCCGCGTTCCCGCTCTCGCTGCCGCCCGCCTTCTCGCCGAGGCTTCCAGCGCCACTCTCGCAGATGTTCTTCTTGCCCCCGTGGGCCGAAGCGGTTGCGACTGAGGCGGCGGCTACGGTGGACAGATCGTGCCTGGGGGCTGGTGGAGTTGCCGCGGCGGTGACGTCCGTCTACCAGTGATGTCGTATTCGGTGATTGCGCTTGTTTAGTTTACGGCTTGGCCTATATTGGCAGTGAGTCTGTCATCCAAACCTCCATTTCACAGATCAGCCCCACCGTCATTCGTGAAAGCTTCGACCATGAGTTTTTCTCGTGGTGTCGTGAGCTCCGGGCAGCATGTATACGTGCGCTTGTTGCGGCGTGGGTTCGTTTTGTACCAAAGGCCTGATCACGACGCTTGGGAGTTTCCATTAATCGTCGCGCGTCTTTGCCGCCGTTTGCATCGATCATATATATACCGCCTTTCCTCCAATGACCTCAGGGGGAAGCGATAATCGTTCTGATTGTATAGGCTCTTGACGGTTATCGTACATGTGCCACTCCGCAGTTGAGGCGCAATTAAGGGTCAAAGTGGTATAGGCGCTTCGCGGTCAACGGCCGCTCCTCCACACCTCAAGTTGCTCCAGACGGCTCCAGCGAAGGCCCCGATAGGTGCCCGATAGCCCACCCCGCCCGGTAGCGTTCGGTTTTGCCATCGGGGGACTGCCGCACATCTGTCGGCGATTCGAGGTCGATGTTTCCCCCATCTAGCCAGTCCCCCTCTATTGCTGCCCTCCGCAAACATGCCACTCGCTTTATCACCCCTGGCAAACCAGGGCCTGCGGACCTAATCGGTACTGTCACTTTCTGGGTGTTCTTGGTGCTCGTTCTTTGCAGCAGTAGTGCCGCTGTTCAGGCGATTTGCACATCTGCCGCCGTGAGGCGCGCACAGCTTGCAGGGCAAAGCCAGCCCGATAACAGGGCAACGACTGCCTGCTGGCCTGAATTCGAAGAGCAGAAACACCATGGCATAATCCGTAAGGGCTTCGCCCCCTGCCGCCAGCCCCCTCTCTCGGAGAATGGGCCATGGAAGAGCTAAGTCATGAGGCTTTGGCGCTGTCGTGCAGCAGTATCGGAACTTCATGCGAGGCCGATTCTCAATCGGCAAAACCAACTGATCACAAGAGGGGTTACCACACAGGGCGATTGGTAAGACGTGTATGGTTTACGAGCTTGGTTACCACACCTTGGGATTAAAGGGCCGAGGGAGTACTCGCAGTTTGGGTTACCACGTCTTGCGATGGATGTGCGTGAGGGGTGGCACCGAATTTCAGAAATGTGGCAAATCCCATGTGTTTTTGGACCCTGACCCCGCGGATCTGCGTGAGGGGTGGCACCGAATGTCAGAAATGTGGCAAATCCCCTGTGTTGTTGGACCCTGACCCCGCGGATCTGCGTGAGGGGGGTGGCACCAAACTTCAGAAATGTAGCAAATCCCCTGTGTTGTTGGACCCTGACCCCGCGGATCTGCATGAAGGGTGGCACCAAACTTCAGAAATGTGGCAAATCCCCTGTGTTTTTGGACCCTGACCCCGCACCCTCACCGGCGACATCCCTTTGTCGTACGAGCGGTCGCTGCTCGTGATCCTACCTCGCGGAGCTGCTGGCGGTCACAAGCGGCGACGGCGGCGAGGCCGCCGAGCTCGCCGCGCTGGCCCCCGGCGCTGCTGCGCCTCCGCCCCCAGGGCTGGTGCGGCGTCTGCGGGGCAAGCAGCCTCTGCCCGCGGCGGCGGCCGCCCAGACGGGCGCCGAGGGCGACGGCGGCGGCGGGAACGGCACCGCGACGCCGCTCGGCGACGGGGCCTTCGAGCTCCCTGGCCCTGCCCCTGGCGCGCTGGCCGCCCCGCCACCGCCGCCCGCCCAGGCGGGGGCCTGGCTGACCCCGTCCCAGGCTTCCCGCTGGGCGCCGAGACTCACGACCCTGTCGTCTCGCACGGCAAGATGGGGATCGCAGTCGTGCAGGGGGTGAGTGTGCTCGTGGAGCGGGTCGCGCTCGCCAACTTGGACGGCTACGCCGAGGCCCGCGCGCGCGACATCCGGCGGGCCTTGGGTGCGCCCCCCGCGGCTGCCCCCGCTGAGGGCGGGGCTAGCGGCCAGGGGGCGATCAACAAGGCTCACATGCTGGTAGGACGGGCCCAGCGCCCCCTGCGCTCCAAGATCGACAGCGACATCTGGCTGAAGGAGCAGCTGGCGAAGCTGAACGACCCTGGGCTGGACGACCTTGTCAAGGACGTTTTCAGTGAGTCCGGGGGCTTGAAGGCGAGGCTGGGCGACGTCATGGCTCGGCTCGCCCGACTGGGCTCCCACGCCGGGGACGACAGCGGCAAGCCTGACTGCGAAGCCAGGGTAGGGTGCTCACCATCAGCCGCACCGCGCTGGGCGTCAGGTATCGTGACTTCCGCTCGTCCGTGGAGGCGATGCAGGAGTCATCGTGGGAGGACTGGCCCTTGAGCGGGCCGCGGACCACCCTGTTCGTGCTCTCGTGCATCGCAGAGCACTTCCAGACCGCCGAGCAGCGGCACGCGAGGTTCCTGGCGGACGGGAAGCTGCAGTCCACGGATGTAGGAGTGAGCGAGCACGCCGTGGTGATGAAGCTGCTGTACTTCGGCGCCGTCTTCGACCAGCTAGACCTGCCGCAGTTGGCCTGGGCAGAGCTGGCGTGCAGGAGGGCGCAGCTCATCGAGCTGAAGCACAAGGGGAAGTTCACCGGCAGGAAGCAGAACGACCCCAAGAAGAGCACAGTCGCCGAACTATTCGACGACTCGCACCTGTACCTCGGCATTTCGGCCACCCGGGGCATGCTCTGCATCGCGCCCGAGCTCGAGGCCTGGGTTGGCAAGGAGCCGGCGAACGAGCACCAGGCCATGAAGGAGCGACGCAAAGCCCTTGAAGAGCGGAAGGCTCTTAAGGGCGAGAAGGACTAGTCCTTCGCGTCGGCGGCGGGGGCCTGGCCACACCCGTCGCCGTGCCTGGTCATCTGCCGCCCGCCCGCGCTGCTCGCAGTTGTCAGCATGGCGGGAGGCGCCAACGCAGGAGGGCCTCCTCGCGAGCTGCCCCCCTGCCCTCCTCCTTTTGACCTCGACAGAGGTGACTGCCAGAGAAGCGGACGCCGTTCGGTTAGAAGACGGGCGGAGTCGCTGCTCCACTGGCAGGCTTGGTGCAATCGAGGCGTTGCTGCACTCAGCGAACTTTTTGGTCACCCTGCTGTCGGCGGTGGCGCCGCTTCTGATCGCCTCTCGTTCGGGCGGCTGTCTTGCCTGGAGGGCGTGAAGGAGGCGCGCAGGGCCGTCGGTCCGCCACCTGCCGACATGGGGGGCGCCGCGGGAGCCTTCCGGGAGCTCTGCGGCGCCCGCGCCGGCTGTGCTTTCGAAGCCGACGCCGCGGGCCCCCCGTCTCCGCATCGTACGGGCGCTGTTTCGCTGCCCCCGGTTTCTCCTGAGCCTGCGGACCTGTCCAAGGTGCTTGACGGCTGGGAGCTCAATATGTGGACGGGGTGGAGATCACGTCTGCTTCGTGAAGGGATAGCTGCGATGCCGCCGCTGCTGACGGGCCCGATTTCGGCTCCGTGTGCTCCGACCCTGCACTGGTGAAGCGCCCTGCCCTGTACGGCGAGTTTTGCATTGACCTGCGCGCGAGAGGTGTCGTGAGTTTCTCTGCCGCTCGCCCGGCGACGGTGGGCGTCTTTTTTGTCCGCAAGAAAGATTCATCGCTTCGCATGATATTTGACACTCGCGCTGCTAATTCATTTTTCCGCCCTCCCGCCAAGACCGCGCTTCCCACTAGCGGCGCTTGGGGCCGAGTGGAGGTCGACGGGGGGGGGGCCTCTCCAGATCGCCCAGAGAGACGTGCAGGCGGCCTTCTATAGAATCGCGTTGGAGCCCGGCATGTGGAAGCTCTTTGTGCTGCCCGAGGTAACAACTGCGTGCATCCCAGGGCTCTCGCCAGAGGAGCGCGCGCGGCTTGGGCCTACCTGCTCCCCTACTCTCCGGGTCCTTCCTTGGTCGGGGCGCTTTTTTTCTGTCAGGCTGCCGTCTCTAACGGGATGAAAATTATGGGTTTGAAGAGTGTTGGCGAGGTCACTGATCGAGGGGCCCCGCAGGTTTTTGACAACACCTCTGTAAAGCATGCTGTGTATGTAGATATCTTTGCCGTCGCCTCGCTAGATGCCGACAAAAGCAGTTCCCGAATTAATGATGCTCGAAAGGTTCTTGAAGGAATGGGGCTGCGCTGTCGCGACGCCTCCGAGGCCCAGACCACATGCGAGTTCACAGGGCTCTTCTTTGACGGGGAAAGGCGCGCCATCCGGGTGAGTTCTCGACGCATCTGGAGATTGCGTCTTGCTGTCGACTGTGTTCAGGGCACTGGAAGGGCTAGCGGCGGAGAGATTCGAAAGTTGATCGGCCACTTCACCTGGGCCAGCCTGCTGCGCAGGGAAGCTTTGTCTATTGTGGATGCTCGTTGCAGTTTCGCCGAGATCCATGAAAAGGTCGCGGCGCGCCTCTGGCCCGCCGTTGCCCGTGAACTCCGATGGATCCGAGACCCCCCCCCCTCTCCTCTCGCACAGCGCGCACGTGAAGTGGAGCGACGTCTTGCGCGTGAGCGATGCCTCGACCGACGGTTTCGGGGTCTGCTACGCTCGCTGGGATAGACGGGACGCTGCGCTTATTGGGAGGTGCGGCGAGAGGTGGAGGTACCGGGCGGGGGGGGCTATCAGCGCACGGGAGCACGCACTTCGACCGGACGTGCTCGGGCTCGGTCTGGACGATCTTCGGCTTCTACCGGCTGCTCGCACGGCTACCGACGATAAGCCCTACGACGAGATGTTGCTAGATTAGACGAGGTTCCGGTTTCGGCGGTGGCTTCCTCGGCTTGGCGGCTCGGTGCGCTCGGGGAGTGGCAGGGGGCGGGGGAGACCGTGAGGTTGGAGGGCCGGGCCTTGGTCATGTCCGTCCGGCGCCTACTCCGTTCTCGGGCCCACCTCAACACGCGCGCTCTCTTCCTGGTGGACAATCTAGCTCTAGCCCTGGCGTTGGCCAAGGGCCGGGCACGCTCGAGACATCTCCTGCCCACCTGCAGGGAAGTTGCTGCGCTGGGGCTCTTCCCCGGCTGCCGCTTCCACGTCCGCTGGGTCCCGGGCGAACTGAACCCAGCGGATGCTCCGTCGCGAGGGCGGCGGGCGGCGGGGCGGGTGGATCTCCAGAAGCGCGCAGACGCCTACCAGCAGCTTTTCGACCGGAAAGCTGGCGAGGGAAGCCTCTCTCTGCAAAGGGGGCTTGAGCGGGCCGCCTTGCGCGGCTACTTCTCGGACGCCGATGGCGACTCTTGCAGTGGCAGCGGACCCTCCTTTCCCAGAGGGAGCCTGGCACCCGTCAGGCCAGAAGAGAGTCGGGGCTTCAGCGGGGTCCAAGCGAGCTGGGGGCCAGACGAGCCTCCTGGCCTTGAGGAAGCACGTGGCGCAGTCCTGGAATCGAGCCTGGACGGCCTCCGCGCGCTTCGCCTTGGCCGCGCCCCGCGCGCGCGTGCTGCAGAGGAGCGCGCTGGAGCTGTCGGCCGCCCAGCCCACGAGATGGCGGACTACCTGCGCCGCCTGGGCTGGTTCTCGAACTTCGTGCTGGATTCGGGGCTCACGCGCGACTCCAACCGATCCCTGGACGAGGTCGTCACGGAGTGGTTCGACATCCTGTACCAGCGGGGGCACTCGGCCAACGACGGCTCGAAGTTCCTGGCGGCGCTCCGGCACCTCTGGCCGGAGCTGGAGGCCCAGCGGCAGCTCCCCCGGGCCTGGCGGGCCGCTCAGGGATGGCGGAAGCTGGCCCCGGTGCACAGCCCGGCCCCGCTCCCGTTCAGCGGGCTCATGGGCATCGTGGGCGGTCTGATGTGGCTGAACTTCTCCGAGGAGGCCGTCCCGTCGCCGTGCTCATCGCCTTCGCGGCGTACCTGCGCCCGGGCGACCTCTTCGGGCTTGCTCCACAGTCGCTGGTGCCCCCGGTGGAGGGGGCGGGCGGGCCCCCTCACTGGGGCCTGCTCCTCGGCGCTCGGGAGCTGGGGCGCCGCAACAAGACGGGCGAGTTCGACGAGAGTGTCCTCCTGGACTGGCCCGGGTACGAGTGGATCGGCACCTACTTGGAGATTCTGCGCGAGCGTCCGGTCGGACGCCCCGTGTGGACCTTCGACGCCGTCCACTTGATCTCGGTGCTCCTCAACGCCAGCCTCGTCAGCGGGGTGCGCGTGCTGTGGCCGCAGCTGCGTTCCCGGCGGCACGGCGGGGCTTCCTTTGACGCGATCTCCAAGCGCAGGCCGCTGGTGCGGGGCCAGCCGAGCCCGCCGCCCCGCCCTGCGGCCGAGGCGCTGAAGAGCCGCATGGGCGCCGAGCCCCGCCGAGCTCGGAGGGGCGGCTGCGCTTCGGGGCATTCCTGGAGCTGTTCGCCGGCGCCAAGCGGATAGCCTCCGGCCTTCGTCGGGCCGGGGGCGCGGCGGTCACCCTTGAGATCGCCGACTGCCCGCTGCAGGACGCCGCGCTTCGCGAGGTGCGCCAGGTCCTGCTGTCGTGGATCCAGCAGGGCCTGATCGACGGCGTCTGGCTTGGCACGCCCTGCTCCTCCTGGAGCGCCGCCGGGCGCGGCCAGCCAGGCCGCCCGGGCGGGCCGCTCCGCGATCGCGCCCACATCTGGGGGCACCCCTCTGCGCTGGCGCGGCACCCTGACAGAGACAGAATTCAGATCGGGAGCGCCGCTGCACGATTCACGATCGCTATCTTGCAGACCTGTATCAAAGCCGTCATCTAGGAGAACCCGATTGGTTCCTTGCTCTGGAATGTGCACGGCATCAATCTGTTGTGCCGGCTGAAGTCCAGCTACCAGGTCACTCTGGATTACTGCCAGGTCGGCGCTGTCTTCCGGAAGCGGACGCGGCTCCTCAGGGTTGGCACGTCCAGGGGCTGATGTCGATTCGTCGGTTTTGCACTGGGCGGCATGGGCTTTGCTCACGGACTGGGCGTCGGCCCCGGATTCTCGATGGCGCCCGAATGACATCATCAGCGGCCGCGTATCCACCACAGTTTGCTCAGCATGCTGCTAACGCTCTTTGCGCTACAGAAAATAATTCAAGCCTTGAAAGAATGTGGAGACTGATTCATCCTTAAGGGCGGCCTACGGCCAGATCCTACTATGCGTGTTTATGGAGTTGGCTGTATTTCAGACGTCTCTTTGAATGTCCAGGCGGGCGTCCTCGCGTGCGTGCGCGTGGGCAAGCAGTCGAGGTCTGGCTGTACACAGAAAAAATGAAGCGTATTCTGGAGGCCGTGGAAACGGTGAGGGAGTGTAGTTCTGTGAACAGGCATCCTGGCCAGTGAGTGAGTCCTCCGCCACCGTTGCGTCGCTGGTGCTATCTGTGCTCAAGTCGCTCCCTCCCCCCCTCCCCTCCTTCCGCTGTGTCTTTCTCTGAATCCGTTTCCGTCAAAGTTGGCTGTATTTCAGACGACTCTTTGAATGTCCAGGCGGGCGTCCTCGTGTGCGTGCGCGTGGACAAGCAGTCGAGGTCTGGCTTTACACAGAAGAATGAAACGTGTTTTGGAGGCCTTGGAAACGATGAGGGGTCATCATCGGGACACCGTCATCGCCACCATCATCATCATCATCATCATCTTGACACCAGCATCATCATCATCATCATCATCATCATCGGAACACCACCATTTTCACCGTCATCATCATCTCATCACCATCATGAACATCAGCAACATCATCATCATCATCATCGCGACACCAACATCATCACCAACATAATCATCAACATCATCATCGGGACACCTTCATCATCGTCACCATCATCATCATCACCATCATCATCACCATCGGGACACCATCCTCATCATCAATATCACAACTGCACGAGACGGGTCCATATTCGAACGAAGAGTTGGGTCACACATTGCTGAGGTCTCTTGCGGAGGGGGGGGTGGATGGGGCAGGTTGGAATGAATTGGGGGGGGACAGTGGGGAATGGGGTATCGTGAACTTCGTTTCGGAAGGGCGGGGTGGTGAAGGGGGTGGGCTGGGGGCCCCGTCCAAGGATCAGGATCCTTCGTCGGTGGGCGGGCCCTGTTCAGCCAAGCGCTCGCGGGGCAAGGCTGAGGCGGGCGGGGGAGGGAGGAGAGGAGAGATAGAGAGAGAGAGAGAGGAAGAGAGGGAGAGAGAGAGAGAGAGAGAGAGAACGATAGAGACAGAGAGAGAGAGAGAGCGAAAACAGACGAGATAGTGGGAGAGGACGGTGAGACTGATAGTGGGAGAGAAAGAACGACAAAGAGAAATAAGGAGGGGGAGGGAGAGGGAGAATGGGAAGGATTGAAACACTTGTCTTGTTTTTGTTATCGGTGTTTATTATTTGTTTGCATTGCCCTCGCGCGCCGTGCTTCAACGTGCCACGCCCCAGTGTTTCTAAGCCAGCTTTGCAATTTTCGCGGGGCGGCGGGAGCGGCCGCAGGCGGAGGAGTGGAAGACGGCGTTGGCGGGGGGTAGATTGCGAAACAAACGGCCCGACAACGGCTGCCGCTGGGATGAGGCATTCGACTGGCTGGGGACGCGGGCGGAACTGGGCGTGACGTTGTTGGGGATGCGAACTGTGCGCAAACTGGCGCGCCCGCGAGCGCTCGGGGCCGCCGCCTCAATTGGGACTGACGAGACTGGCGCGAGCAGTGGCTTTCAAAGTGTCCGCCAGCTTTTTCGCAACTATTTTGCCAACTGGTTTCCAACTTTTTGTCCAACTCTTTTGCCAATTGTTTTCCAACTATTTGCTCAACTATTTGATCAACTACTTGTCCAATTATTTGTCGTTCTTGATCCACAGCGTGTTGCGAATCTGCTGCGCCCACTGAGCTCAGGCCGACTTTTGTGCGTGTCGAATGCCGCCCGACGCGTGTTTCAATTTTCACTTCAACTATATTTCTCATCTTTACATGTGGGGCGTTTCAAAAAGGGCCTTGCCTTCGAGGATCGAAGGAGTTGTCATCCCTTCCGCGGCGGAGGGGCGGCGGAAGGTCGGCGGAAGCAAAACGAGGCCGCCTCCGCGGGCAGAAGCCGGCGGAAGGGCGGAGGAAGGTGGCGGAAGTAAACAACCGCCTCCAAAGAGATAGCAAGTTTTTTGGGTTCAGGGTTTCCGAAGTCCGCCATGTGAAATCATGACATTTGGCTGGGCGGCGCGCTAAAAAGAAGTTGCCGGGATTGCGGAACAACCTGTTGATCGTTCTGCCAACGGGGGAGCGTGGCGCGCGGGTGCGAGGCGCTTGTTTTTGTTGCCGGTGCGCGCGTCGCGGCGACAGAGACGGCCAACGTCGTTGGGGAAAACAACACAAAAACAGACGGCGGGTGGCGAAAAAGGCGACGCAGCAGGGGAGGACGCGACAGCATTGAATCGAACCGACGAAAGACGGGCGGCGGGCGATGGGCGGATGGCCGAGTGGACTGAGCAGACGAAGGGGAAGTAGGTGGGATGCGGCAAAGAAGGACAGGGAGAGGGCGCGCGGGACGAAGGGAAATTATTCTGGCAGGGCGAGAAGGCCGACGAGGCCCCCGAGATCGTCCCAAGAGGGCCCAAAGGCCCAAAGGCCAAGAACGCTCGAACGCCTCCCAGAGGAGCCCACGACGGCTGGAGAGAGGCCCAAGACGACCCAGCGGGGCTCCCAGGCCCCAGCGGGGCGGCCTGGGTGCCCCGTCGGGCTGTCGCGGGGCTCTCCGGGGCCGCGCGGAGCCTTCCCATTGGGGCGTGTGCGGGGCCATTTGGGGCTGTCCCTGGGCCTCTCTTGAGCCGTCGTGGGCCCTTCTGTGAAGCCTTTTGGGCGCCCTCTTGGCCCTCGTGGAGCGATCGCCACGGCCTCGCCGTCCGTCTAGGGCCCGTGGCGAAGGGGGGGCGTTTTTGTCAGAAAGACGCGGAAACCGTTTGGGCGGGAGGGGACCGCATAAAGCAAGGGAGACACGCGCACAATGAGGATGCGAGATGCTTTGGTCCAGGGCCGATGTTCCTTGGCCTGCAGCGCAATTGGCAACGACGTTGTAGTCGGCGTCGTTTTTCTGCGGCTTGCTGTCGCGGCGAGCCACCACCTGCGGAGGAACGCTGCAAAGGTAATAGCAAGAGATAAGGAGAGCGGGGCTGCAACGGAGGGTCGCGCGATTACCGCCAACGCGTAAAAATATAGCACCTCATTATTAAACAGGTGTTACAACGGCAGGGGAAACTATAATGCGTAGTAGGTGGTGGCACGTTGGGCACGCGCGCGCAGGTATAATGCTTCATCGTCGCCAGCAGAGACTGAGCTCACCAATTACAGGGTCGAGGCGCCCCCAGAGCTTTCGACGTCGCCAAACTTTGGTCGGTCAAGACTGGCGCTGGGGCTGCGCCCAGGGGCTAAAAGTTCACGCTGCAGCCCGCTCGGGGCTGGGCGCCCAGAATTGTTGATAAGGCGGGTGCGGGGGGGGTGCTTTGACATCGATTCTTGTTAAAGGCGCAGGTGTTCCGGCGGGGGGTTGCGGCATAATATTCAACGACGCATAAGGTTGGGGCGTGGCGGCTGTGGGGGCATAGGGCAAATTTACATAGACTGGGCGGCATTGAGCATATATGCATGCACGATCACGCGCTGCAGTACTACTTACTACGCATCGCCGCTCCGCGTTCTCAATCGCGCAGTGCTGAGGAATAGAGTTGAATGCAAAATCATAGTTACGGAATAACTGAAGTTTAAGTGGGGTATGGCGTGCGGAGTTGCGTTCGATGCTGAAGGACGCGCAAGAAACAATTACCCAGCATTCGTGATCTCTAATGTTAATTAAGCCCAGGGCTGACTGTTGTGCAGGACGAACAAATGCCCAATTGTAGAATCCAGACCGAAGCTGAAGGCAGCGCAACAACACAACTGTCCAACTGTTGCGTCCAGCCCTCCTCCTCCCCGCCCCCCCTTCCTCCCTCCGTCCTTAACAAGCCCTCAGGGTTCAACAGACTATGAGCGCAGTGCCCGCAATCCTTCAAAAGTGGCCCAGCCAGGCCCTGATGCAGGCATGAGGGTCCTGCTTGAGCATCGCGCGTTCAAAAATGTTCCCCGAAACGCACCACCATGCGACAAAAAAACTTGGAGTGATCTTCGCCGAAAATTAAAAAAAAAGAGCACGGGTCAAATATTTACTCATCAATTCTTCAAGTTTTCGTCAATGTTTTATTCATCTATCGCAACAAGTCATCTATGTGTTATTCAACTTGTTCGAAACAGCTAAATCGTTACATCAGCTTTCCTGCCAACAGAAAATGAACGTTTTCCTCAACGTGATAATCCACACTGGTTAAGCCGCAGGCCCGGCCCAGCTGCAGGCGCAACGCTTTGCCGCCGCATTTCGGGCCGTCACAAACCCGCAACTGAGTCAGGGCGGACGAGACCCGCGCAGCCCTGCGACATGGGTGCGAACAAAATGCCGTTCTGGTATCTGTGCGTGCTTTTTCATCGTGTCCCTGCTTTGTTTTTTGGGCGCCCGCGCGCGGCCGTTTGTTTCTTCGTGTTCGCTGGCGACGGGCTGGAACGAGACGCGTTGTTCCAGGGGATTGTGGCGCATGCCAAGCCTCTGCGTCGAGCTGCTCGCCCCGCGGGGAGGCGGAGGTGGTTTCGAAGACGAGCTGGATCCTCCCCTAAGGATCACTGCTCATCCTAGTCCTCGTTTTTATCGCAGGCGAGCCGCGAGGCCTCCCTCGGCTCAAAAGTCAGGCGGACGGCTTGCTCTCGGGCACCAGGGGCAGCTGCCACAGACGGGGCGGATTGATGAGCTTGTTTTCCACCACCACCATAAGTTGGAGCGGGAAGGAGGAGGAGGGCGAGGAGGAGGAAGAAGAGGAGGAGGAGGAGGGGGAGGAGGAGGAGGATGAGGAGGAGAACCCCCCCCTTCAGCTTATGGTGGTAGTGGTGGAAAACACGCCCATCACGGATGCCCCGCGTCTGCAGAAGGGGACCCACCGCGTGCGTCGGATCGATCGGCGGGCTCGAGCACGTGCTGGCCGTGGGGAGGGGCCCAGGACTTCTGACCATACGCTGCTGGATGCGCAAGGAGCAGGTGCGCACGCGCTGGAGAAGCTTCGAAGCAACTCCTGGGAGGTCAGATTCTGATTTTGCCCTGGTCCGGAATCCAGCTCGATCTGGCTGAATCCCGCTGAATCCCGCTGAATCCGGCTTAATCCCGCTTGATCTGGCTTTGTCCCGCTTGATCCGCCCCCAAAGGGGCTTGAACTTGTTTTATTCTCCCGACGAAGACCTACCAGTAATTTATGAAGAAGCGCATCGCGAACCAGTCGGGCCGAAGACCGATCTGCTTCGGGCGCCTTCTGGGCGATTGTTTTTTGTAAGGGTCTGGCGATCACCGGGGTTGTCGGGCCCGCCCGCGCACACACACACACACACACACACACACACACACACACACACACACACACACACACACACACACACACACACACACACACACACACACACACACACACACACACACACACACACACACACACACACACACACACACACACACACACACACACACACACACACACACACACACACACACACACACAAACACACACACACACACACACACACACACACACACACACACACGCACACGCACACACACACACACACCCCTCGCCTCGGACAACCCGACCTGCCTTGTCGTTCGCGCAGGGCCGAAGGGGGTACGCAAGATTGGTGCGCGCCGGCACACGTGGGACTGCCTAAGCGAGAAGGTCTGGCTATCGGCCCGCACCTCCCTCGCCCACCCACCCACCGGATCGCCCAGGCTGCATCGCCGCAAAATCATGCACGGGCCTGGAATCTTGATGAATCCGCTCAGGAGCGTCCTGGCACGCTCTCAGAGCGTTCGGAACGCTCTGACACTGCTGCAGCGCCCGATACATTTTGCAAGCCCGCTGATTCTCATAGATTTCCAAAAGGGGCGGGAACTAAACGCTGTTTTGCTGGACTTCGGCTGTGTTGTGTCTTTCGTTTTGGTTGGGAGGCACAGGAAAACTGGTAGAACAGAACGAACAACGAAACCACAAAAACAACCCTTCGGTCCAGCTCTTACTTCCAATCTGTATCGGTCCAACTTTGTCTCGATGCTGCCTTCGTCTTACGACCGTCGTGCTCTGCCAGGTGCTTCGTGTCCGAGGCGGGAATTCATCCATAACCACCGTCTGGGCGGTCGATCTTCGCGGACCTCCAGAGGCGGTTGATATTTCGGGCCCCCTTGGGCCAAAATGTATCCATATCCACCGCCCGCCGGGGCACCAGGACGTCGGTTCCCAGGCGGTGGACATGGATAAGCTCCCGCCTCGCCTCGTGTGCGTCTCCTTCCCTGGCCGCCGCCACGGCGGCCCGACGCGGTGGCGGCGGGCCGCCCGCCCCCTCGGCGCGGCGGCCGGGCCGGCGCGCAGGTGCTCGCGAGGCCGAGGACCCCTCGCGGGGCCGCTTCGGCGGGCTCCCGGGGGCCCACCTGCACCTGCAGAGCCCACTTCGATTTCGATTTCGCCGGATGCAGGGCCCACGTGCAGGGCCCGCCTGCAGGGCCCATGCCGATGTCCCCGATTCGATTCGATTCGCTTTCGCCGGTCTCCGCTTCCGATCCAATTCGACCTCGGATTCCGACGCGGGATCCGATGCCTCAGTGGAGACCTGCTGGCCCGCCGACGTCTGCCGATTCGACTTTTCCCGACTCGGGTGTGCCGATTTCAGCGGATCCGATTCGTTTCGACCGCCGATCCCACTTATCGATTCGGTTCTGGGGTCTCCTGCACATGCTGTTGGCGTCGCAAAGATAGTGTGCGACTGGGGCCACCACAGGGGTGCGAAGTTCGTCGCGCTTCGCGCTGGTCGGTCTGGGCGACTTCAGTGCTGGGCGCGAGTCCCTTATCCTGCTCTGGGGGGGGGAGGCGCCTCGAACGCGCGAAGATAGTGGCGCCTCGCGGAGCGCGAAGCGCGCATGCAGTTGCCCCAGCCCTGGCATGCGGTTGGCGCTGCAAAGATAGCGTGCGACGTGGCGTCGCTGGCCTGCTTCTACACGCTGCCCCCCCCAACCTCGCAGATAGCCTGTACGGGGGAAGCCCCTGCAAAGGGGGATGGCGTGCACAGAAGAACCCCTCGCAGGGGGATCGCCTCACGTGATCGCAGGTGCTGCCGACCCTGATGGGAGACAACGACGACGACGACGACAACGGCGGCGGCGACGACGACGCTGACGTGGGCCAGAGTCCTCAGGGATGTTTCTTGCGGTCTCTTGGGAAGTCTCTCGGGGGCCTCTGGGGAGGAATGTGTTGGGGCCTCTTAGGAGCCTCTGCGGGGCCTCTTGGGAGCCTCTTGGGGGCCTCTTCGGTTTTCCTGGGGAGCTCTTGCGGGCCTCTTGGGGCCTTTTGGGAACCTCTTGGGGCCTCCTAGGGGCCTCGGGGCCGAGGGCTCGAAATGTCCGTTCGGGTCCCCCATCTGGGCGCGCTCTTGGAGCTGTCTTGACGTGTACGGTCAAAACTTCGACACTTCTTCAGCTTGCGTTGGAGGCGCGCCATGCCCAGGTGGCCCTGAGAAGGCTCATGTTCATGAAGCCGGGGGTGGAGCCAACCGCCCGGGCCAAGAAAACAAGAATGTCCGAGTTGGCACGGCAAATGTGCAGACGTTATGTCCATGGGAAGAGCGACTTGCTAGTACTAGGGCTGTAGGAGTGGTGTTGTCAGGAAAAGTGCATTTGCTTGAATGCATGTTTGCACGGTCTGGGATTGACACTGTTGGGATCCAGGAAGGCCGCTCCATTTCACAGCGCATGCAATCAAGCACGTCCTACACCATGTTTGTTGCGAGAGCCAATTCTCGTGGCAACTACGGCGTGCAGATATGGATTTCGAAGGCCCTGCAATTTGAGCACGACCGCTTCCACGTGATAAGCAGTCGGGCCGCGTATGTTGCAGGCAAATCCAAGAAACTCGGTTGTTCGATGATTGTCGTGTCGGCCCATGCCCCCATAGAGCGGGATCGGGAAGAGGCGAAAAATAATTTTTGGGACGATCTGGCGAGTGTGTTGTTGAATGCACGAGGCAAGTACCCATGTGCGCATGTTGTGTTGTGCATAGATGCAAATGCCAAGAAACCTTCGTCCCGACATACGTCGCCTCCATCGAGAGACAGAAATGACGACAGCCGTAGGCGTTTCATGACACTTCTGCATAATACGTCTTTGCATGCGTCGTCAGAGAAATTTGAGCACGGATACACGTGGAGGTCGCCGAGAGGCACTGTCTCGTCGATCGATTATGTGTGCACCAGTACCCATCTTGATGCCGATGTTAAACGAGCGTACGTCGAAGACACCGTGCCCTTAACAATCGGCGGACAGGAAGATCACAGGTTGCTCGTGGCAGAGTTTGGGGTTCCCCAGGGCTGCCATGACAGCCCGGCGGAGAAAACCAAAGGCCCCGGGAAGTTCCGCTTCAATCAGTTGGAGTTGAGGAACGGATGGGCCGTTGAGCGATTCAAGCGTTACGTGTGGGATTTCTCACCCAAGCCAGGCACTGTCGACGAACACCTTCGCGATTTGAATGCCTACGTGAAGGCGTCTGCTTTGAAGTGTTTTGGTAAACCTGGAGACATCCCGCAAAAATCTTGGATAACCCCAGACACTTGGGCCATCGTAAGGCATGTTGCTCCCATGCGGAGGCGGATGCATAAACTCGGTTCTTGTTGTAACGCGTTCTTGAGTGAGCGAGCGTTTTATGCATGGGCGTCCTTGCGCGGGTGCGTGTTTCCAGTTCCCTCGCAAGCGTCGCGCGGCTGGGTAGCAATCGGCCGGAGCGAGACCGCGAGGGCAAAACAACACCATGTGGCAACCCTCAAAGCAGGCGTCCGCTTTGTCTTGGACGCTCTGAGTGTCTCCGTAAAGCCACTTGTCAACAGAGATCGCGAAGCTTGGTGGCACGACGCCGCCTGGGAGGTCCAGTGTGCGTCGCAATCGGGTGACATGCGGAACATGTTTCGATTGCTTGGCAAACTAGACGGAAGGCAAAAGGCCACCTCGGGTTCTGCCATTCGAAAAAAAGTGGCGAACCGGTCGCTGACGAGCCGGAGCGCCAAGGACGATGGCAAGAGCATTTTGCCGAGGTGTTCAGAGGGACGATCGTGAGCAAGGCATTGCTGCGCGCGCCTGTGCCGCAAGACATCGTGCGAAGTACGAGTCTCAAGCTGTCGCCTGAGCGGACGGCGCGGGCACACCGCAAGCTGAAATCTCATCGCGGCGTCGGCCCAGATGAGATACCCGCCGAGCTCTTGAAAGCAGGGGGGGACGCCATCGCTGTAAAGTATTTTGAAGTCGAGAAACGCGTTGTTGAAAGCGAAACTTGGCCAGTCGATTGGATGGGGGGTCGTATGCAGGAGATTTTTAAGAGGAAGGGGTCGGATGACGAGTGCGACAACTACAGAGGAGTGTTGTTGTCTGACCATGCAGGAAAGGCATGTTGCTCCCAGCTAAGCGAGTGCATCGAACCGCGCTGCAACTCTTGCCTGCCAATGTCGCAGTACGGCGCAATTAAAGGAGGTGGGACCGATGTTGCCCATCACCTGGTTCGCGCCGTTATAGAATATGCGTCGTTGCATTGCTTGTCAATCTTTGTGCTGTTCATTGATTTGGTCAAGGCTCTCGACGGAATCATCCGCGAACTCATATTTGGCTTCTCGGTTTCTTCCCAAGAGTCGCCCGTCGAGTACTTGGCGTCCCTCGGCGTTGACCAGGACGTTGCCGAGTGGCTGGCGTCTTACATATGTTCCGAAGGAGGCGTGTTTGAACAGTGGAACGTGGACCCGAAAGTTACCTCCCTTGTGGCGCGGCTGCACGAGGGGTCGTGGTTCTCGTACGGCTCGCTCGGCACAGTTGTGCGGTCGCACAAGGGAGGGCGCCAGGGATGCATCTTCGGAGCTACGGTTTTCAACGCGGGATACTCGGTCCCGATCAAAATGCTCCACGAGGAAATGAGGCGCAAAGGCATTACCCTACGCGTGAGATCGGGGGGGAAGGCGTTCTGGGGCACTACCGAGGACGATGGGGAGGAAGCCGCCACCGAGGAGGAAATCATCGACGCCACGTTCGTGGACGACGAATGTATCGTGTTAGTGGCTGCTTCCCCACAGCTCCTCGATCGTGCTATCCAGACGCTGCTAGAAGTATTGTGCCGGCTGTTCCGCTTATGCGCAATGGTGATAAATTGGGCTCCAGGTAAGACGGAGCGCATGCTCGGGGCAAAAACGCCAGCGCGCATTGGGAGCAGCACAGGCACGAGGACGGCGTGTACGTCAAATCAGATCACGATGGCGCTATCAAATTGTCCATTGTGTCGAAGTATAAGCATCTCGGAACAGTTGTCTCCATCGCAGGCACCTGTAAACCCGATGCTGAGAAGAGGGCATCAGCAGCCATGGACGCATACGCGCCAGTTGCGATCCGTGTATTTGGTGCTCCGAACATATCCATCGCTACAAAGATGCACGCCGTGAAGGCACGCATCTTGACAAAGCTGATGTTCCATGCACACGTTGTCACGCCAGACGCACATTTCGCGCGGACGTTGAACCAGGTGTACATGAGGGTGCTACGGCGCATTGTGGACAAGGTCCGGTTTGGGCCAGGGCAAGGCACGGACCTGCAAGTGCGGCAATCCTTGGGGGCGGCATCCGTAGATTGCTTGGCTATGCAGGCTAGACTGAGGTATCTGCGGAGGCTTCTCCTCTCTGGCAGAACACAGTTGCTGGCGCTGTTGTCATCGAAGCGCAATGGCAAAATGATGCCATATACGCGGGTCGTGCTCGATGACCTCACCACGGTGCAAATGTTGAGCAGCCAATGTGCGCCGCTGGGAGACCCCAGCGAAAACGCAGGACAATGGCTGGACGTGATATGCGGCCAAGACCAGCGATGGCACGATATCGCTGGCGCGATTCATTTTTCAAAGAGCAAGTGTGACAGCTGTGCCTCACCGGACGGGGTGCAGCTCAATTTCGCCTGTGACATGTGCCCCGGGCCCAATCCACCAGCATTTGCAACCAGATTAGGGCTCGTGCAACACAAGCGCGCCGTGCACGGCGTCAGGAACGAAGCGAGGAGGTACGTCTCGGCGGACGGCGTTTGCCCTCTGTGCCATAAAGACTTCCGGCAGCGCTTCCGCTGCATTCGTCACCTCTCGGGATCCCCCCCCAACGCATGCACGGAGATGCTACGCTCGGGGGCTGTAGAGCCTCTCCCCAACGACCTTGTGGAGTCCCTGGACAGCGCCGACAGGGCGCTGTGCCGGAAGGCATATAAGGAGGGGCATGTCAGGCCCTTGGCTGCAGGAGCGGTGAAGACCGCCGCAAGATGCACCACGGGAAGTGACAAGAGCTGAGCGTGCGCTCGCACGTGGACGAAGTTTCACACACACACCTTGAGACGCCTCGAGCCTACCTTGGGAAGAAGAGGAGGCATCGTGGGCCGTCTTGGAGGCTTTTTTGGCTACCTTAGGATCCTCCTGGGCTGTTTTGAAGCCCTCTTGGAGGCCTCTTGGGTCGTCTCGGGGCGATCTTGAGGGCCTCTTGCGTTGTCTGGGAGCGGCGGGAAGTGGGAAAGGCGAGAACGCATTTGTTTGTTAAAAATACGGGCAATCAATGAATTTGGCCTCTTGGGGCCCTCTCGGGAGTGCTCTTGGAGGCTTCTTAGGACGTCCTGGAGGCCTCCTGGGCAGTCTGAAGGGCGTGTAGGCGTTTTGGACGGATTGTTTGGCGATCGGGGGCCCTCTTGGACCGTCTCGGGTGGCTCTTGGGGCACTCTTGGCTCTTGGCCTGTCATGGTACTTTCTGAGGCACCAGGACCCCCAGGGGGGATGTGCATTTGACCCCCAACCCCCCCGGGACCCCCCTCGGGGACCCCCCCGCCTACCCCACCTTTGGACCTCCTCCCGACGGGGGATGGATCAAACGAAAGGGGCTTCCGTTCGACTCGGCTGCGACAGTATTAGATAGTTCTTTCGCTGACAAGCTTGACGAGGAGAAGGGTGCAGGGAAAGGGGACGACGGAGACGACGACTGACGGAGCCGACGACTCGAGCAGACAAGCCCTTCACACACGCCGACGGGGTGGGCGGATTGGGGGCGATAGCGTGCTTTGCAAAGATCGGTGTTGTGCGCGAGTTCAGCCATGGCGCGAGCTCCGCACGAAGGACGGCTCGAGAGCCCCTGGGGTCTTCCGAGAAAGCAGAGCGACAGTGGTGGTTTGAGCGGCTCACATTTTATCAGAAACAAGTGCCAGCGTCATCACGGCAGGATCCTGCTGCATGGCCGAGAAGGGACGAGCTTTGGCGTCGCCCCGGCACCCATGCGCGCGGCAGGCAGATGTGGGGCGGGCCTTTGCTCTGAAGCCTCAGAGGGCTTCTGGCCTTCTGCAAGGGTTTCGGAGCCTTCCTCGAAGCCACAGGAGGGCGGATCTGAAGTCTGGGGGGGGGGGAGGGGGGGGGGGAGAAGCTCCGCCGCTTTCTGAGAAGGCTTGCCCCGTCGCACTTCTCCCTTCTGGGGCGCGCCGCCGATCTTCACGGCTGGCACGAGGGTCGAGGGCCACCCTGGCCTGGGGAGGGGTGCCCGCATGCTCGTCGTGCTTGGGCCCGGTGCACCCTGGAGTGCCCCTCGTCCGGGGGCCTCCTCGCGGGGCCCCGTGCCCTCGACGAAGCGGCTCACGCTCTGGGCCCGGTGTTCTCGTGGCCGCGTCCCGGCTGTGCAGAGGGCCCGGGTCCGAGGCGCGAGACGCCGTGATGACGGTGCGCTCCCAGATCCCTGTCGAAAGCCAACGCGCAATCGCGGCGGGGAGGCGGTCATGGTGCCTGGTGGGCCTGCACACAGCAGATAATGTACCAACTCCCCGCCGATGTGGCAAACTCCCATGGACCCTGATCGCGGGGTGGCCGCGCACGATCCAGATTTAGTTGCGACGTGAATGTTGTATGTTTTTGTTCCCTACCTAGGCTCTGCCTAGAAGGGTTTTTACTCTCTCAGCTTAAAGGGGCCGGGCAGTGGAAAGCGCCCCGGGCGGATCCCCCAGTCCCCTGGGAGCGGTTCCCCCCAGTCCCCTGGGAGCTTTAGCTTTAGCTTTAGCTTAGCTTTAGCTTAGCTTTAGCTTAGCTTTCGCTTAGCTTTAGCTTAGCGTTTCGCTTAGCTTTTCGCTTAGCGTTTAGCTTAGCTTTAGCTTAGCTTTAGCTTAGCTTTAGCTTAGCTGTAGCTTAGCTTTAGCTTAGCTTTAGCTTAGTTTTAGCTTAGCTTTAGCTTAGCGTTAGCTTAGCTGTAGCTTAGCTTTAGCTTAGCTGTTGCTCCGCTTTAGCTTAGCTTTAGCTTAGCTTTAGCTTAGATGTAGCTTAGCTTTAGCTTAGCTTTAGCTTAACTTTAGCTTAGCTGTGGCTTAGCTTAAGCTTTAGCTTAGCTTTAGCTTAGCTTTAGCTTAGCTTTAGCTTAGCGTTACTGTTACTACTAATGCTGCTTTCCTAGGGGTTCCAACTCCTAGGTAGGGTCTCACTGGGATAATTGGACAAGGAGGGTGGCCTGACGCACAGCAGGCAACATGATAACCTCCCCGCCGCCCCTGTCCAAACACAAGGGGAAAGTGCCAGAGGAGCCCACGAGCATGACCCACGATTTTGCCACAAAGTGTATTTTGCATTTGTTTTTTGATTGGGATGGTGGGGGGGCATTGTTCGTGGTTGTCTGCCGGTCGCCTGGGAGACGGGGGGTTTATTCATGGGGGGCAGGAATCAAGGCTCCCCCCCACAAGACACAAGCCGTCTCGTTCACTGCCACCCGCCCTCTCGACACAGTGGTCGCCGCGCGGTCGCGAATGCTCCACATTTGGAGGCCAAGCCCATTTTGTATTGTAGTTTGACAGGGATGGTTGGCTAGCGCGCAGCAGCAAGCAATAGGAGGGCACTCCCGCCGTCCCAGTGAAACAAAAACAAATGCGAAGTGGTCGCGGGGCGCCCGTGCATGCTTCAGATCTGGAGGTCAAATGTATGTTGTATGTTTTCGTTGACGCGGATGGCTGCCCTGCGCGCTGCGGCCAACATGAGTCCCCCGCCGTCTATGTCAAAAACGAGTTCGAAATGGTCGCGGGGTGCCCGCGCATGCTCCAGATTCGGAGATATAGTGTATGCTGTAGTGCTTTTTGTGCAGGGATGGTTGGCTTGCGCGCAGCAAGCGATATGAGGCCACCCCTTGCCGTCCCTGTCCAAAAACATTGCAAAGTGGTCGCGGGGCGCCCGCGCATGCTCCAGATTTGGAGGCAACTAGTACTTCGTCTTGTTTTTGACAAGGATGGTGTGGGGGGTGGGGTCGGCATGGGTTCGGGTTGGCTGCCGGACGTATGGGGAAGGGGGTGTTTATCAATAGAGAACAGTGATAACTCCTCCCCGGCGGAGGCGGAAGGGGTTCAAAGAGAAAGCGCTTTAAACCACCCACGCCCTGCGGGGCTGGTGGGATTTCGAGAATGCGATGTAGTCCGATACTTGAACGGCGCTGCTGTGTATCCTGGCGCGGCCGAATCGGTTCGATTCCAACTCCGTGCCGATCCGGCCCGAACCGATGTGCCTTCCGATCCGATCCGATCTGCCTATTCGGTGCTGACTGATCCTGCATTGCCCTCGACCTGCCGGAGGCTTGTGCGGTAGGTTCGCGTCGTGTCGACTTGCGACGACCCCGCCTCTTGCGTTCCACGTTGAACGCCACCCGTGGAATGGAATCGGCCCATCGTTAAACGATCCGGCGTGTCGGAGAAGGCCGACCGTGACCCATCGGACGTTGAAAGTAGGTACTTTGGGACTTCCAGATCCCAATCTACTTCAGGCATCTTACCACTTCAATCAACCGGCGTGTTTTCCCCCTTCCCTCATCGTTAGGGGGGCGGGCGGAAACCCAATCTACTTCCAATGCCTTCCTACTTCATGTTTCTGCCCACTTCTTCCGACCGAAGGGTAGAGGTTGAACGATGCCCGCGGTGTTAGAAGCCAACGCCGACGTCGGCACGTCCCGAGCCTGCCCTATAAGAGGGCTTCTTGGAGGGCGGGAGGGCCGAGGTGCCTCCCCGCGGCCTTCTCGCTTCGCAGAGAAGGCCACCCGGTCGCCCTCACCTCCTGTAGGCGACGCGCCGCCAGCTGCTCCCGCTCCTCGACCCCCGCTCTCGCGCTCCGCTGGGGGGGGGGCGTGGACCTCACGAGCCCCTGGTCAGCAGCGAGCCCAGGGGAAACATGGTACCGGCAGCTATTCTATAGGCTCACGCCACATCCGCCGACCCCTATGTAAACTATTGCGCCTCCAGGACTGCATTTCACGAGGCTTGTCCGAATCATGGGACGGCGCTCGACATCGTTCCTGTTGCTTCGTTGCTGTTATCGTACCTCTTGGTGCTCTTTTGTGGCCTTTTGGTGGCATCTTGGCGTGTCTGCAGGCCATATCCGGTCGCCTCGAGGCATCTTGGGCCAAGTTTTGGGGCCTCTTGGGGGCTTCCTGGAGGCTTCTTGGAGGCATTCGAGGTTCTCTTGGGGGTCCCTCAGGGCCTCTTGGGGTGTTCTTGGGGCAGGCTGGGGGCGTCCTGGAGCCGAAGGCTCGAACATGTGCCCTCTGGATTCCGTCTTGGAGCCGTCTGGGGGCCCTCTTGGGCTGTCGTGGGGGCTTCGTAGGCTGTTGTTGGACCCTCTTTAACCCTTCTTGAGGGCCGTCTGGGGGCGATAATTATTGAAGGTCCTTTGCCCGTCTGGGACGTTGCGAAAACCGAATAGGCGAGCATGCGAAAAATGCTAGTTTTCCAAAGGAAATGGGACGATTTTTGTTTCTTGGGATCCTCTTGGGGCGCATCTTTGGGGCCTTTTGGGGCGTCTTGGCAGCTTCGGAGGCCGCCTGGAGGCCATCGTGGGCGTCCAGAGGCGATATGTCGATGAATCGTGGCCCCCTGGGACCGTCTGGCAGCGTTTTGGTGCCTTCTTGGTCAGTTTTGGAGCCCTCCGCTCCCCCGTGGCGCGTTCGGTCTGGGGTCGGGCTCGGCCAGGGGGTGGGGTCAAATTGCCGGTTTGGGGTCCCCGGGGGGGGGATTCTAGGAGGGGGATCACCTCACACGCCTGGAGGCCCACAAGGGGTCGGCGGATTTTTGCATGCCTTGTTTCGCCGATCGGCGTGGTCCCGAGGACCCCCCCCCTCCCCTTCCCCATGGACCAGATCTCGGCTGTTCTCGGCGGCGGCTGCTCGACGACGGGTCAAGGCTCCTCTGCCCGAGTCTGCCTGCGCGACTGGCAGAATCGGATCGACTGAGCCCTGGCCCCGACCCAGCTGCCCCCCGTCGGCCAAAATGCCGAAACCCAGGATGCAGAATACGCCCACGTGAGGGGGGCGGGCCTTCCCAGAAGCCCTCCAGCCTTCGGAGAAGCCGCCTCAGTACAGGGGGCGGGTCTCTCAGAAGGCGGCGCGCCGCGTGGGGAAGCGGGAGAGGGCAGGCCTTCTCGGAAGGCGGTGGGGCTTCTCAAAAACACTCCAGACTTCAGATGAGCCTTTTGAGAAGGTTCAGAAATCTTCGCAGAAGGCCAGGCTTCCGAGCCGTCTGAGACGTCTGCCTCCCTCTCCGGGCTCGCCGCCGAGGCCCGCGGGGAGGGCCAGGTGAACAGGGCCAACAGGCGAGGGCGATAAAGTCGTGCAGGCGCAGGCATCCAACGCCTTCGCAGTCATAATGGCGAAGGGCCCAGCCATGTACAGTTGTGGGCGCCGCGGTTGCGAGCATCGTCCGTGGTGAAGCTCCCTATGGGGCCACGAAGCGTGTGATGGGTACGCCGAAAGGGGCGCGGCGCTGCCATGCGGTCCGTGCCGCTGGGGCCTTCGGTGGAGGCACCCAACGCCTCAACAAAGACCAGGACTGCGCCCTTATAACCTCCTCCTCCTCCTCCTCCTCCTCCTCCTCCTCCTCCTCCTCCTCCTCTCCTCCCCCTCCCCCTCCCCCCCCCTCCTCCTCGGCCTCCCCCTCCTCCATCCCTCTCCTCCTCCTCCTCCTCCTCCTCCTCCTCCTCCTCCTCCTCCTCCTCCTCCTCCTCCTCCTCCTCCTCCTCCTTGCGCGCGCCGCCAGGGAGGAGGAGACGGAGGAGGAAGGAGGAGGAGGAGGAGGAGGAGGAGGAGGAGGAGGAGGGAAGATCGAGGAGGAGGAGGAGGAGGAAGATCGAGGATCTAGGAGGATCGAGGATCGATGAGGATCGTGGAAGAGCGAGGCTCGAAGATCGGGCCTCTGGGGCCCCCCACGGGTGCCCGGAGTGAAGCCCACAGGAGCGCCGACCAGGCGAGGAGCGGGCCCCAGGGGAGGAGGGGTCGGGGGACTCTTCCGGGGGGGCCCGCATATGGTGAAAGCCGGGGCCGGACCCAAACAAAGGATTGCAAAAAAAACCTAGGATTGCAAAAAACGAAGGATTGCAAAAAAACACCCTAGGTTTTTTTGCAATCCTTGGTTTTTTTGCAATCCTGTTTTTTTTTGCAATCCTTGGTTTTCGAGATTGTCTTCTTATCCATTGTTTTGCCGATCGGCGCGGGCCCTCGCTCCCCCCCCCCCCACCCATGGAGTAGATCTTGGCTGTTTTGGGCGCCTGCTTCAAGCAGGATTGCAAAAAAAACCATAAGAACGAAGGATTGCAAAACAAAAACCATAAGAACGAAGGTTGTTTTGCAATCCTTCGTTGCAATCCTGAGTCCCTCCCCCCATAAGACGCACTGTTGCGAGCAGTCGCATTCAGCAGAGGTCCTGAGCCAGACCCCCCCCCTTCCCCCCTTCGCCCAATGTCGAAACGCCGAAGAAGAAAGCGTTCACTTTGGTTTTCGTTTTGGCGGAGGGGCCCAGGGGAACAGGCAGACCAAATCGAAACACACTTCGGAAGACGAAGCGAAAAGTACCGCTTAGGCCCATTCCGGGTTGAAAACGAGACCTCGGATGTCTGGAAGCATGAGGAACAATTGCTCTCAGCAGTGCTCGTTGCGGTCCCTCCTGGCGGCTATTGGTTGCCACAACACGCCGCTGGCTTAGCATGTGCTCAAGCTGTGCTTCGGGCGCGCACATTTCATAGCGCCACGGCGCGCTCCTGCGCGAGAGAGTGACAGAGAGAGAGAGAGAGAGAGATAGAGAGAGGGACAGGCATCTTTGCAGTCACCGCTTGTCGCCGAAGCACTTGGTAGTATTCATGTGTCCGGTGAGCACACGGTAACTTGTAAGCCGCTGGCAATCGGTACGCCTCGTGAAACCCTTCACCAGCGAGGAGGGAGGAGGGGCAGGACGAGGAGGAGGAGGAACAGGAATAGGTCCTGGGAGGCCCTGATAGGCTCTGGGAGGTTCCTGGAAGGCGTGCGGGCCGCGTCCAGCGCCGGACCCCCCCCACCTCCTCCTCCCTCCTCCTCCTCCTCCTCCTCCTCCTCCTCCTCCCCCTCCTCCTCCTCCTTTTCCCCCTCCTCCTCCTCCTCCTCCTTTTCCCCATCCTCCTCCCCCTCCTCCTCCTCCTCCTCCTCCTCCTCCTCCTTTTCCCCATCCCTTTTCCCTTCAAACGCGTCGCTAGGGCCAGCCCAGCTTTCCACTTCCAACAGCCACACCCACTGAGAGCGGGCCGTTTGCCAAGTGCGGTTCTCGCCCTGGCGCCGCGCGCGGTCGTTGTAAAAAAGGCGCCGAGCAGCTGCATGGATGGAAGGCGGGTGGTTCGGGCCGAACGAGGGGGGGGGGGGATAGGGGAACGGGGGGGTACGAAATCTGCTGCATGCAGCTGGTCTCGGCCCCGCCGCCGGGTCCATGCCTCGACACATTGGCGCTCCCCGGCGCCGGGAGGCGCTGGGAAAGTCAGCTACGCGAGCTGATCCTCTAACTACCCTGCCCTTTGCTATCCCCCCCCTTTTGCGCTCCCCCCGGGTGGCTTTCAGCATGGGGCGCTCGCCGCGGCGTGGCGCGCGCTCGCCGCAGCAGCAGCGAGGCAGCTGCACGGGCACGGGGCGGCCGGTGGGGTCTCTCTCGCTTTGGCGCGGCGCACGCCCGCTTCCACCAAGAAGTCCAGCCACGACCCCCAGTGGACGGCGGTTCGTTTTGAAGATGGAGCTTTCGCCGGGTACCTCTTCGAACTTTCCGACTAGACGTAAGAGTGACCCTTCACCGGAGTGAGTTTTGGTGCGAGCCCAATGGGGTCCCCCGATCGCCGAACGGGATGCGATAGTGGCGTCTTGCGGGCTTGTGTTTGGGCCCCCCGCGGCCCCCCACAACGCCGCGCACCAAAGGTCACTCTTACCCAGGGTCACGTTTGCGTATATCCGAACTGTGATGTTACGAAGCAAACGTGCAGTGCAATACAGGCGCGGATGGGGGGCGGTTCCTTGGCAAAGGGGGGCTCTCGACTGGGGCAATCGACGGAGGCGAAGGCAGCGGCCGCACGGCTGGAGGGCGGCTGCTTTTCAAGGCGGGGTTGCCGGTGGGCATTTCCTTGCACCGTGTATGATCCCACCCTGCCTAGTATTTCTCGTATCTCTATATATATATACATATATATATATATATATACACATATATATATATATATATACAGATTACACCAGTGGATAGTTTTCGCTGAGGATATCGACCAGGAACCGGGGAGCCCGGGAACCCAGAACCCACCGAAATCGGCCCGGAACCAATAACTGGGAACCCGGGAACCCTGAGGTGGGAACCTGGGAACCCAGCTTGCTACCAAAATCGGTGGGAAACTTTCGCGCCAAATCTTCCAACTTCCGCGAGGGCCCCGTCAGCGCAACCGCTGATGGGTTTTTTCTCAGGTGTACGGACCTCTCTCTCTATATATATAGATATCTGTAGATCTACCTCGAAGGACGGGCGGCCCGCTCCGACAAAACGGAGCTCCGGCCTGGACCGCGCACGTGGTGCCCCCGTTTTCCAGGGGGGGGCGGGGGGGGGGGGGGGGGGGGGGGCGCCTCGCGCAGCGCGCGAAAAGAGTTTGGTGAGGACACATGTGAGGAGGGCACCTTGGGACGGGAGGGTGCCATAGTTCACCCGGCGCGCTCCACTACTCGCAAAATGCCTACTCGCAAACGCGAAGAAAAATCATATGTCTTACTCGATGTAACTGGTCTTAGATATTCCCCGCGGCGGATGTCCATGCCGTTTGCGAGCAGCTACTTTGCGAGTAGCGGAACGTGCTTGTCGAATGGTGCATCACAGTGGAAGCCCCATGCCGAGAAACACCCCGTTTGCCTCCAGAATGCCCCGGGCTTCTTCGGTTTCGATGGTTCTGCGATCGAACGCGCGCGCAGTTCCCGCGCCAAATATCAATGGGCGCCCCGGGGTCTCGGGGCGGGGTTCCTTGTGGAAGGTCTCTTGTGGTCGAGCTCCTGCTGCGTGGTGGGTGCATGCTGCGTTTTCTCATTTTTGGTCCTCCTCGTCCCTCTTCCTATGTCGGCGGCGACAGCGTCAGCGTCGGCATCGTCGTCTCCGCGAGCCTCCTCTGGGAGGCCCCCGGGGGCCCGCGCCCCCCGCCGCGCTGAGGTCGTGGACCACCGCGGCGACCGCGCGGACCTGGCGTTCACGCTGCTACTCACCGAGAGCTGGTGGCGTGAGGATGGCGGGGGGGATGAGCGAAGGAGTCCAGGAGGAGTGGGAGGACCAGGAGGGAACGAACACACACACACACACCTACCTACCTTCCTACCTACCTACCTACCTACCTACCTACCTACCTACCTACCTACCAACCTACATACACACATGCATGCATGCATGCATGCATGCATACATACATACATACATACATGCATACATACACACATACATACATACATACATACATACATACATACATACATACATACATACATACACACATACATACACACATACATACATACAGACAGACAGACAGACAGACAGACAGACAGACAGACAGACAGACAGACAGACAGACAGACAGACAGACATACTTACATACATACATACATACATACATACATACACACATGCATACATACATACATACATACATACACACATACATACATACATACATACATGCATGCATGCATACATACATACATACATACATACATACATACATACATACATACATACATACATACATACATGCATACATGCATGCATACATGCATGCATACATACATACATACATACATACATACATGCATACATGCATACATACATACATACATGCATACATACATACATACATACATGCATACATGCATACATGCATACATACATACATACATACATACATACATACATACATACACACACCACAGAGAGATATACGTTTCATCGTCGACCCCCGCGAGAGTAGGGGAAACCATGGCAAGTGTGTGTGGAGGGGGGGGGAGAGGCAAGTCCAGAAACCGCTGGAAAATATCGGGGATCCTGGGGTTTGTGTCTATCTGTTTGTGTGTGTCCCTGGGCCCTGTGGAGGAGGGGAGGGAGAGTTGGTGGCGCGAGGAGGGGGCCGGGAGCGAAGGGGTCTAGGAGGAGGAGGAGGAGCAGCAGCAGCCGCAGCAGCAGCAGGAGGGCGCTTGTGCATCCCAGCCAGGGAGCAGCGGACGTGACCGCAAGCGTTGCCACATCAGGAGGAAGAGGCATAGCCTTCCTCGCCCTTGCTATTCCTTCTTCTCTTTCTCCTCCTTCTCCTCCCCTTGCGCCCTGGACCATGGTCCCCCATCGCGCTCCCCCACGCGCGGAGGAGGGAGGAGGAGGAGCAGAGGGCGCAGGAGCAGGAGGATGAGGACACGGAGGAGTGAGGAGGGAACATCGATTTGGACGGCTGTTGGCATACGTTGTTCTCCTGCGGATCCCTCGTCGCCACGGCTGGATCCGCTTTGGAGTCCTGGTCAGATTCGCTCCTGGAGGAAGGCAGGGAGGTCCTGCTCATCCTCCCTCCCTCCCTCCCTCCCTCCCTCCCCTTCCTCCCGTCGCCTCGTCCTTCCCATGATCCTTCTCCTCCCCCTCCACCCTCCAGGGCGCAGCACAGTGGCGGCAGCTGCGAGCCTGGCACCGCCAAGAGGCTGGCGAGGTGCTGCTCGATCTGCGCGGGGCACCTCTCCGCTGGAGCTCTCCGGCGCGCAGGGTGCAGCTCAGTGGCGGCAGGTGCGAGCCTGGCGCTGCCGAGGGGCTGGCTGGCGAGGTCCTACCTCCACTGCGCGGGGCACCGCTCCCCTCGACGCGTCGGCTTGCGCAGGTAGGGTGCGCGCCCAGCGGCACCCAGAAGCTAGAGAGGAGGAGACGCAGGCCCAACGAACTCCGCGGAGCGCACGAGGGAGCCACGAGTTAGATACAGCGGGGGCGCGCGCGCATCCAAACAACCGTATACTTTTCGTCCGAGTCCCCTGAGTTTCTTCGCTCCGCGCGCTGCGCGGTGACTTCCCGCAGCCGTCGAAGAAGCTGCTGCGTTCAGGGTGCTCCGCGGTTTCCCCTCAGGTGCGCCCCGCGCACGGGTTTTCAGGGTTGGGTTTCTTGCGAGGGCCTCTTGCGGTCGCGCCCGCACTGCAAGGAATCCGCGGCAACCCCTCAGCCGCGTGGGGTGTCACCGGTCAGGGGGGCCTCCGTGCGTGGGTGACGCCTGGCGCCTTAAGATGCTTCACGGCCGCGGTTCTCCCCCGACGAACGCTCCTTGCAGCAGTACCTGTACTCTGGGTAAGCAGAGTCGGAGATTGTCTGCCTGAGGAAGGCCAAGGCAGCTCAAACAAAACACCATAAAAAACGCTTTCGGCGGCCAAATGAACTCCTCGAAGGAGGGTGGAATCCCTGTCTCCTGAAACCTCAGGCCTACCGGACACAGCAACCACTGGGAGAGGCACACTAACAGCAGACGCGGTAGCCGAGTCGGTTACAAGGCCGGTTGCGCAACAACAGTTTGTGACGCCAGTTGCCTGTCAGGAGCGCCCGAAATATTACGCGTTGGTGCGCTGGAGGTCCCCTCGGACGTCCCCAAACCTCCCGTATGAGTCGAATGAATCCGAGGTCTCGCAGCCGTGTGCAGGCTCTCCCCCTGGAGCGGAGTCAGAGAGCGGTCGGCCGCAGCGACGGCCACCTTTATGGCTTCCTCGTGGGCCGACGGGAGAAAGGTCGAGGTAGAGGAAAAGGAGTTCGCAGAAGGTGCGCCCAGCCGCCTCTGGACCAAGGCAGCCTGCGCCTCCAGAAAAATCCACTGCTATGTTTCGTTCGTGCTCCCAGGCCTGCCCGTCGCGTCACTTTAGTGGTGGTGGGCTTATCCGCATTGTGAGCGCCGTGCGGCCGGTGCCGCCGACCTTGAAGAGGGACGACGACGACGCAAACCACGACGACGACGACGACGAAGACGACGACGACGACGACGACGACGGCGACGACGACGATGACGACGACGACGACGACGACGGCGGCGACGCGACGACGACGACGACGACGACGAGGACGAGTACGACGACGACGACGACGACGACGACGACGACGGCGGCGGCGGCGGCGGCGGCGGCGGCGGCGGCGACGACGACGACGACGACGACGACGTCGACGACGACGACGACGACGACGACGACGACGACGACGACGACGACGACGACGACGACGACGGCGGCGGCGGCGGCGGCGGCGGCGGTGGCAGCGGTGGCGTCGGTCGACGGCGGTGGCGGCGGCGGCGACGGCGACGGCGAAAAGCAATAAAAAATTGACGGATCGTCCTTGATTTTACCCTCTTGGGATTGCCTTGGGAGTCTTTTTGGGGCTCTGTTGGGCCTTTTGGGGGCTTCTTTGGCGCCTCATGGGGCCTCCTAGGGGCCCCTTGGGGCGGAAGGCTCGAGAAGTCTGTTGGTGTCCTCCCTGTCGAGAGCCTCTTGGGGCCCTCTTGGGGCCGTACCCGGCCGTCTTGGGGGCCTTGTCGAGCGTCGGAAGCCCGAGAAGGCGAAGATACGAAAAAACATACAAAAGTTGTCGGAACATCGTTGTGTGTCGCCTTTTGGAGCCCTCTTGGGGCTCCTCGTTGAGCTCTCTTGGGGCGTCTTTGGGACTTCTGAGCTCGTTTTGAGGGTATATCGGGCCGTCCTGCAGTGATCTTGGGCTCTTTCAGGGCCCTCTTGGAGCAAGGCGCAGTACAAGTAAGCTCGAGGCGTCTAGGAGGCAAGGTCGAAAGGGAACGCTTCTCCCAGGGAGGGGTGCTTCCCAGGGGGGGTCACAACCCTCGGGGCCCCCCGGGAAGCCCCCCAGGGCTTCCCTTGGACTAAATTACGACGTTGCAGGGTGCCGCCTGATATCGGCACATCGCCTTTGAGATCCTTTTGTTCCTGAACCACACAGTCAATCGGTCATCGGCTGTCACTTCTTATTGCCATCGGTTCGTCGATGATCACAGAAGAGGAATACCGCGCCTCCGAGTCCAGGACAGCATTCACCACGTGCCAATGTAGCTGCGCCCTCACGATCGCCTCCCCAGTCAGAGCGTCCGCGCGACCTCTTCGCTTTTGCAATGGCCACGCTGCGCTCGCCGGTGGCGCTCAACTTCGGACACCTGCATCTCGCGCCCTGGCCTCTCCAGCTTCGACTCCGCCCGCGTCTTTCTACTGCGGCTACGAGGCATCACCTGCAACAAGGCCTCAAACTCAACGACTCTCGGGAAGTCGAACTGGGCTGCTGTATGCCCTCCAGCTTTGTGCCTCGAAACTACTGGAGCACGCGCGATGATACACATCTGCCCCGCTACGCATCATGGGCTAAGCCTGCCCCGCGTCCAGAGGCTCACGCTTGGCTGGGCTCGCAGGGAAAGGCGAGTCCCGCCGCCATCCTGAAACCCGCGCCTAAGGGCACGGCCGCCAGAAGCAGCCGTTGCACCGTACGCGCTGTCCGTGACGCGGTGGACCAGGCGCGCCGATCGCCTCCCTGCTGCAACAGATGCTGATGAAGCAAGACAGCCATCCAGATAAAGTTGGGTAAACTATGTTCCAGCACGTGCTCGTATTAGTATGATGATGATGCTGATGATGATGGTGCTGATGCTGCTGATGATGATGATGATGATGATGATGATGATGATGATGATGATGATGATGATGATGATGATGATGTTGATCATGACGATGATGATGATTCTTCGTATTCTTTTATGATAATTATTTGCACTAGTACTATTGTTGTTTTAGTTATTAGTATCATCAGTTTTCATATTACTACTACTATTCTCTTGTATTTGATGAAAAGGAAAAACATGCTTGGGCGGCGCGCAGTTCGCCGCGGTCGACCGCCTGCCGCGGCCCCGCCCGGGCGCCGGGCACTCCCAGCGCGTCCTGGCCGAGCTGCGCCCCGGCAGCGCCAGGAGGCGTCGCCCGATGTGCCACGGAGGGCTCAGAAGCCAGAGGCGCCCCAAGCCCATGACAGCCGTTCCTCCCCCTTCCTATCTGCCTCTCCGCCTCCCCCTCGTCCATGCCCCTCCGCCACGCCAAGCAGCTGCCTGGCGAGGTTCGGCGTGGACACCGGGTCCCTCGGCTTCTGGTTTGGCCAGGCGCGCGCCCTCCCGTTGGTGGCGCAGGCTTGGCCCGCGGGCGTGGGG